TTTCCTTCCTAAATTAGTGCTTGTTGAATATTTGTAATTAGATAAATTTTTTTTCAATTTTTATTCATTTTTAAATAAATTTATTAAATTAGTTAACATAAAGTTGAATAAGTAAAACAACTAAAAAATAAAAAAATTATTGGTATAATTTAGTTCAACACACCTTTTGACATAAGTCAAGTTCATCTATTAAAATATAAATCTAAATGTAGTCAATTTAACCAATTTTTACATACTATATATAAGATTATATTTTTAAATTTATTTGATCTTAATTTTAAATAAATAATAATAATTTTTTAATAAATATATTCTATAATATGTTAAATTAAAAAATATATCAATAATTATTCCTAAAATACACAAGAATGAGTAACTATTAGTTAGGCAAACAAATAAATATTTTTAAAAAATAGTACTTATCAATCTTATCTTTTATATATTAAAAAAATTTATTTTAAAATTATGTCGTCTCAATAAAACACTACAAGAAATGATAAAAAACAATTAAAATTTATACTTTAAAAATAAAATATTTTAATCTAAATAAAAAAAAAAAAAAAGGTAATCAACGTATTTAGTTCTTAAATGTATTTCTTGTACCTAAAAAAAAAAAAATTTGTATTTCTATTTCTTTGGTTCCGCCGGGATCTTTTCGAAATAAAGTGAATTGATTGTTCATTTTAATTTAATGGTTTTTCTTTATAATTATTGCACTATTTTCACATCAATTAGTATTAAAAAATATAAAAACTATTATTAATTTGATCACTAGTATCACATAAATTATTTTAATTTAATAATTACTTAAATAAAAACTAATTGTTATTTTTTAATATTAATTAATATAAAAATGTGCAATAATTATACATCTAAGAAAAATCCTTAACTTAATGCTCATGAAATCTTTTTTCAAAAAAACAAATGATAATATACCTGTAGAATAAATTTGGGATCCCAAGGAACTCATTTCGTGCTATTTAATTTAAGTATAATGCTATTTAACTTAAATATAAGTCAATTATTCTAATATTAATTAATATAAAAAATATAATAATTATACCTTAAGGAACAAGTTAAAAAAAAAGTTTCTGATTTAATGCTAATAAAATCTTTTCTCAAAAAATAAAAATGCTAATATACCGCGAGGATAAATTTGGGATCACAAGGGACTCATTTGGTGCTATTTAAGCTTCGAGGACATTTCAAAAGAATATTTTTGAAACCCGGCCTAGTTACTGAAAAACACCATTTATTTTGGCACAAGAGGAAGTAATTTGCTAAAGCATTGGAAGGGGAGCAGCAGGTTCTTCAGTTAATCACTTTATACATGGCAGAGTAACATGAAGATCAATATGTTTTGTGTTGCCTGTCCTGAAAACTATTGATCTGAAATTCCTCTTGGAGGAAACTCCAATTCAACCACCTCATGAAATGCTACAATCAACCAAGAATAAACTACTTTTGGAACAATTGAAATTCAACAACTATTTTTGGATCAGAAATTTGAAAGTTTTGCCACCGAAAAGATCAATAAAGTTCATGGCAATTGAAAAGAACTCAAATTCCTCTTATAATAAATTTAGTTTAGAAAGTAAAAGACTCAAAAATCCCCAAGAGGGAAGAAAGACGACAATGTAAATATTCTTGGCCTGACACAAAAATAATAGACCAAAGCAAGACAATATGACTAATACCATTTTCAACACACGCCACTCCATGCCAATGAGAATTTGGCATCTAAAACCTAACAAGAAAGCATACTTAAAACATTGATTAGGCCAACTTTCCTATGCCAATAAAACCAAAGCTTCAAAATCAACCAAAACATCTTACATATGACACAAGACCAACTGCTGAAGACCTTAATGTGGAAAACCTCTTCATCCAAATCAGAAGCATTTCCGATGAACAATGGCTGGACCTGATTCATCGTACTCACCCTTGGTAATCCACATCTACAACATAGAAAAAGAAGTTGCAGAAAAGGAAAAACGGACACTCAGTAATGTTTATTAACCCAAAATGCCAATATGACATTTCTAGAAGAAACATACTTGAAAAAGTAAAAGATTCAAAGGAAAAAAAAAAAACAATTACCTGTTGGAAAGTGCTGAGAGATGCCAAGATAGATCCTCCAATCCAGACACTATATTTTCTCTCAGGAGGTGCAACCACCTTGATCTTCATGCTGGCAGGGGCAAGGGCTGTAATTTCCTTGCTCATCCTATCAGCAATACCAGGGAACATGGTTGATCCACCGCTGAGCACAATGTTTCCATATAGGTCCTTCCTGATATCAACATCACACTTCATGATGGAGTTGTAAGTGGTTTCATGGATTCCAGCAGCTTCCATTCCAATGAGTGATGGCTGGAACAGGACTTCAGGGCAGCGGAACCTCTCTGCCCCAATGGTAATCACTTGCCCATCAGGCAATTCATAGCTCTTTTCAATAGCAGAGCTACTCTTGGCAGTCTCCAGCTCTTGCTCATAATCAAGAGCAACATAAGCAAGTTTCTCTTTCATGTCACGAACAATTTCCCGCTCTGCAGTAGTGGTAAAAGAGTACCCTCTCTCCGTCAAGATCTTCATCAAGGCATCAGTAAGATCACGACCAGCAAGGTCCAACCTAAGGATTGCATGGGGGAGGGCATAGCCTTCATAGATTGGCACTGTGTGGCTCACACCATCACCAGAATCCAAAACAATACCTATGTATATAAAGTTACTGTCAGCACAAAAAAAAAAAAAAAAAAAAAAAAAAAAAAAAAAAAAAAAAAAAAAGAACAAAACTAATCAAATTAGCAAGTCATATTTTCTGAATGTCAAAGTTTGCTTTCCCACCACTTAAGACTTAATAATTGATATTGATTTCCAATTTCCCAAATTTACCCCATAAAACTGACCTCATATAAAGCAACATGAAACAAGGCTTTCCATGGCTATGATTAGAACAAATACGAATTTCAAAAAAATGCCATTGTAAATCAATTATCCTTGATTTAAAAAGAATGATTCAAACCTGTTGTGCGACCACTGGCATAGAGTGAAAGAACTGCCTGGATAGCAACATACATGGCAGGCACATTGAAAGTTTCAAACATGATCTGGGTCATCTTCTCTCTATTAGCCTTAGGATTGAGAGGTGCTTCAGTAAGAAGAACTGGATGTTCTTCAGGTGCAACACGGAGCTCATTGTAGAAAGTGTGGTGCCAAATCTTCTCCATATCATCCCAGTTGCTGACAATGCCATGTTCAATAGGGTATTTCAATGTGAGGATACCTCTTTTTGATTGGGCCTCATCTCCTACATAAGCATCTTTCTGACCCATTCCAACCATGACACCCGTATGGCGAGGTCGGCCAACAATACTTGGGAATACTGCCCTCGGTGCATCATCCCCGGCAAAACCTGCCTGCAAGTATAAGGATAAGGCAGACATCAAAATTTGTGTTCTCATAATGGTCAGCAGAAGAAAGCAACCCAAGAAATAGGATCTCTACTTTGAATCACAAAATTCCTTGCCATTCAAAGGAGAAATATCATATTACAGTACCATGTTACAAGAAAGAAAAAAAAAAAAGGTGATTTACAAACCTTGACCATTCCAGTTCCATTGTCACAGACAAGAGGTTGAATATCCTCAGCATCGGCCATTTTTTATAAACCTGAAAAGGAAAATGGTCTCACATGTGCTCTTGCTTGATATTTTCATAAGTAATAAACTCACATAAAAAAATAAATTAAAACTAAAAAAAATAATAACCAAAGAAACTACCATCAGATTCTACAAGAAACATTTTCCATTCCCAAAACAGATCAAATACATCAACCAGTAATAATCTAAAATCATCATGATCTATCATACTATATTGAAAAACAACATTTAATCCTTTTTTTTTTTTTGGTTGATGATTGACGACAAATAATCCTCAAATTCTAGCTACCAAACAAGTTATGTAGATCAAAACAAAAACGAGATCGAAAGATTCAAAAATATACACAAAATCACAGTCATTACAGATCTTCTTAAGCAAGGTAGATACAAACTAAGTCGATACAGATCGTGATGAATTAGAGCTAGCAAATTAACAATCGAATCTAAAAATTATAGAACTAGATGAATATTCAACTTAAACAGATCTAGATCAACAGAACAAACGTAAGGCTTAGATTTCAATTCAAGGAATACAAGAAGTAGACAAAAAAATTCACTGAAAATGAATCGAAAAGGCAAAGATAACTAAATCGTGGATCGAAGCAAGCTGGTGGTGAAGAGAAATCGAAGAGGAAGAGATTGAGAACGCACCTTGTTTGAGCGAGAGGTTTTGCTTCTCTCTGCTTCCGGGTGGGGGGTGGTAGAGACGACCAGAGGAGAGACTGAAATGAGAGGAGAGATGGTAGGTGGGTATTTAAAGAGTGCCTGAAATTCAGGCGGAATGTAAATGAAATTCAGCCCAAATTCAACTTTTCACTGTTTTTTATTATTATTATTATTATTTACTTCAGATCATGAGTTATACAAAATAAATAACCTCTTATTCTCAAATTTCCTTTTATTTGCATTTGGGTATTCAGACTCAGTCACAACAAATCCCATTTAAGTGTATCCTCCCTCTTCATGCAACGGTTTTCCGGGCAACAGTTCAAATTGACACTTACAAAATTGTCCAAAAAAAAAAAAAATGTCCTTTTATTCGACCCAAGAAATTGATATCTTAAACTCTTAAGTCTTAATTATTAGGCATCCTAGGGGTTGGTTGCCGGGAAAAGGTTTACAATCCAAAAAGTTTTATTTATTTATTTATTTATTTAATGGAATTAATTAGTTTATTGACAGCAAATTGTAACTATGGTAATTCTTATTAATTTTTTTAATTTGTTTAAGTGAATAAATAATATATCTGATTTCAAGTGTAGTCATGGCAGTGGGATGAGTTTGAGCAACTCAATTTTATAATAATAACAATAATAAAACTATTTTTATGTTGATCAAAACTTTTATTCAAGTATATAAATGTTGACATGAGTAGAAGAAATTTAACACTTTTTAATAAAATTTTAAATTTAAATCTTATGAATGAAAAAATAAGTGTTAAGAGAGTTTTTCCTTATGAGATCCGACACAATTCAATTTCGAATTAAGCAAGATTTAATAAGATTATTGGATACCAACAAGTTAATTAAAAAAAACAAATGTGTAATTTAAGTTTAACAAAAATTTTTGTAGTCTTATGGCATCATTAGAAAATAAAAAATGTAATAAAATAACAATGTTTTTTTAATAGTGAGAATTTTATTTTATTTTATTATGTATAAATTCTATAAATTTGTAAAGTTATTTATAATTTAACAATATATTTAATTTAAAGAAAATAGAAAGAATGAGGGTTTCTTTACCGCCCATTTAAAAAAATAAAATAAATAACTTCATCATTCTAATATTTTTTTAACCAAATAAAAGAACTTTCACTTCTACTCTTCCCTCCCCTCATCTCAAAATGAAATATATTGTAAGAAAAATGTAAGAGTTATATTAATCACCGAACAAAACTAAGTGCGGCTATGAATCACTCTTTAGTGAAACTATAAATAGCATTTAAGTGGAGTTATCAATGAAAGTAAGTGAAAATAAATTACAAAATAAAAGATTGAAGATAAAGATCAAAACGAAGGTATAATATCCATCTATATAGAAATTCATAATATGCTATCATATTTTTTGTATTCAAATTGAGAAAAAAAATTTTGACAAGTTTAGAAATAATCATAACGTTTTATGGAGAAAGAAAAAGAGTTATCTCATAAATTCAAACATCAAACTTAAGAGATATTATCACTTAATACGTGTGCAATACAAATTCAAATAATTTTTTTGTTTTCATAATTTCTCTAAAAAATCATTTTTACAACGTCCGAAATTCACATGTTTATTGTAAAGATCTATTTCTCCCTCATTTTTTTATTTTTTTTATAAATATATAAATGTTTTTAAACGAATTACATCAGGGGATTCAAATTTAACTTTTAAGTTAAGGTATGTATTTTCAACGTAACTTAGAGCCATTAACGGCAATGCAAGGTATATGAATATATATTTTTTAAATCTACATAATTTGAGTATTTGACAGAAGCGGTCCAAAGAAACACTAAGGAAGAATGGATCGGGTCACCATGTGATGATGTGGACGCATTCATCCACGAGTCAGGTAGATTGGGGGCGGTGTAGCCACGTCAGCAGGACGGCTAAAGTAGGGTGGTCCGCAGGCAACTCTGTCCTGTTCTGTCCTGTCGGGAGCCGTCCAGCCCATGCCCACCAGACTCTACTCGATCAATGTTGGCAGTGGGTCCACTGGCCCTCCCGAAAAATCATCAACTTGGTTTTGCTCTTTTACACCCTTCACTCTTTAAAAAAGAAAAACAAAATAACTTACGGTTTACATTACCAAAAAACTGTGTTACAGGCGGATTATAACAGTAATCCCCATTCAAATGGGGAGGTCCCTGATATGGAGCTCTCCCCTCCCCCAATCAAGGATTTTAATGTTATAATTTGTTATAGGATGGACTGTTACATAATATTCTATTAAATTATTTTAAATAATAAAATATTAATTTTTAAAATAAAAAAATTCCTTTAATATTGAAGAGGCTTTTTCCCTTAATAAATTTTTATTTTATAATTTAAAATAATTTAAATTATATAATAACAATTTTTTTTATCTTGGTTGCACAATAAGATGTAATCATCTTTCATTTCTTATCACATCTCACATGTATATTATGTGACTTGAACTCAGGATTTCTTATTTTTAGTTTTAAAAAAATCACTAAATTATTTAAATCGTTAACATAATTTTTTTATTTTAAATCATAAAAAAAGATTAATTTTGCATCAACTAAAGATTTAAAAATCATAAAAAATGTTAAATTTTCAATTTTAGGTAACAATTAATAGCACACGGATAGTTTATTTATCTATTGAAGTTTTTTTCATTGGCCAACATCTACTAAAATTTGAATTTAAAAATTTTAAAATAATTGTTGAAATTTTATACTATTGAAACATTGGTTAGAGAAAAATAATACCGTTGAGGCATTCATGTAGAAACAGAAGCAGCAAAATAGACTTAAGAAGATGGGGAATTAAATTGGCATTGGACTTAAAATTCTTTTTTACTCTTGATCAAAACTTTAATTCACAGGATGACCTAATGGTAATTTCAAAAGGCTTCTCTTTATTTCCATTTTCTTTCTACTACAAGGTATACTTCTTTTTTTTTTTTTTACATTTGATTACTAATTATATCATAGGGATAGTCCTCCCTTATTCCTAAATCCATTCCCAAATTTCTCCCACCAACTCAAGACTCGAATTTGACAAGATATACTTCTTTCCAAACGGTTTCCAACCCTTCATTCACCCCACCAAAAAAAAAATAATAATAATAATAGAGGGAGTAAAAAGAAGAATCTGTTTCGTCCAATGGTATGGCCCGGTTCTTTGGAAGGAGTGGGATATTGAAGCCTGATGGGTTCTTTTCCAGGTTCTGATTGAAGCCCGGATTCAGAGCCTTCTGTTCGGTCCCATGGTTCCAAACCAAAAATTGATTGGTTTGGGCCCAATCAAGTATCAACGTATTAATGTTTTCACTTTCTTTTTCATGGTTGAGCTAGTGCTAATCATTTGTTCTCATAAAATAAATAAATAAACCCTTAACAACCAAAAGTTTGAGTCTCTGTATTAGGGGTCTATATATAGTTTATTAAAACGATTGCCGTGTGGTTTAGAGGTCTAAGTGAATGGATTTTAATTTTGGCAACTAATTAATTAAATTCATACATGTGATATTAGTATTAAATTTAAGAAAAAAAAAAGGAAGATCATAACATTAAAAATGTCAAACAACTAATCGTAATTATTAAATATATAAGATATAGTGTGTGTCTTTTTTCTTTTTTTTTTGGATACATATACACTAATTAATCTAGAGGCCTAAAACCTACAAACACCTAGAATATCTTTTGTCATCTTTTACCTCACTTCATTTGGAGGTTCTTCAAAATAATGCCAACCTATACTTAAGTAGTAAAACTTTAAAACTATAGCATCTGCACATATGTTGGTCTCTTGAAAAACAAGTCAAAGTTCACATTACCAATTCATTTTAAGAAAAACCTAACACTTGCTAATAAGATTTCCATATGGCTCAAGACGAGTTGCACTATGAATGATCTTTTGCGCCGCCAACAATGAACTCTACTATTAACTTGCTATAATTCTTCAGCCATGCAAGTTCTAAAGCTTTAAGAATGGCATAGATTTCCAAAAAATTCATCATTTGTCTATTATTGGATAATGTCAAGACAACTTAATTTTTTTTTTTCAACTTTTTTGATTTTTAATATTAACTTAATGACTAAAAAGTATATTAATCACATCCTTAAGACACACAGATTAAAAACATCCTTTTACAAATAATCCTGAATTTTTAGGTACCGATTTTCACTTTTCTTAAAAAACAAAGCACCGTACTAGGGAATGGTTATAGTGCGTATTACGCACCTCGTATAACATAAACGCATAAATACGTTCTCACTCGTAGTGTCCCGACCTCTCAAAGGGGAAAAGTCTCGCCGTAGCAGGTCTGAGCTCGAGTCCAGAGGTAAAACGCCAATCCTCTTCCTAATTATTCATCAATTTCTTAACAAAATTCACCATTTAAGATCTTTACAATGATGGATCTGTTGAATTAGCTGTTCAATCTGCAGTTTATGTGTCAGTTTTATCGATCTGCGAATCTAGGGTTTTGGGTTTAATGGTATCATACACTATTTACTTTACCCCAAATGTGATCTATTTTGGGTTTTAGGGATCTTGCTTTAATCCGTTAGCTGAAAGTGAAATCAATGACAGCTTAGCTTAAGTGAAAACAAAAACAGGTATATGATGACTTTGACAAGCATTTTGTTTGCAAGCTCCCCATTTCCGGAGTTCAATCCTGACAAAAGTTTTCGGTTTTCGGAAATTACTGGATTGAATTTGTGGTGTAGGAGATAGCAATACTTTTTACTAAGTGACAGCATTTTTTATTTTGAATCTACAACATTGAGTTTGATATGAAGTGTTTTTTGTTAGAGCAAATTTGAGAAAATTGTTAAGGGTTGGTGTGAGTTTACTTGTCTTATACGTGCCAGGTGACCCAGGAAGCTCCTCCGTGCGTGCTAGTTATTTGACTGTTTCTTTTTCCCATGTAAGCGTAATCTTTTCTATGTTTTCTTGTATTTATGACTTTCTGTTTTGTTCCTGATGAAGTATATATTTAGTATCTAAAGTTCAGTTGCTCTTGCATAGTTGCATGATCAATATTGGAGCATTGTG